TTCTGAAGAGAAAAAGGAGATGCTTAAAACCCAAAGAAGTTATATAAATCTGATGAAAGCCTCCAGACTTCCTGGAAATTCAAAGTCACTTAGAAAACACTGAGATACCAGACTGTTTTCCAAGTTTGTCTGAAATCAACACAAGGTGAGAGATAGATTACGATTCTACTAGCTCCAAACCATGAAGGAACTCTTCCCTGTTCAACTGTGCAACTCTGATGGCACTCAGTGAGACAACCTCTTGATTCTGAAGTGTCTCTGGTACTAGAGTGAGAAGAGAGTCTCTGACCCCTCCTGATTTGGAACTTGAAGGAAAGGCAAAACTAGCTCTGCACTGTACACACCTGAATTTTTTACAGTATGAATGAGACACCTCTCCAGGTTGGAACTCAAAATGAGGACTTAGCCCAGGAGTCACAATGAATCTTAAAGATATATTTAATATGTTGCCATATGTAAGACTACTTTTCCTTCTGATTTAGCTAGCATTCCTGTCAAAATTTATGGACCAAATCAATGAGTTTGAAGATGGAATGGGTAGTCCATCTTCTGTTCTATCAAGGTATGCTATGAGGAGTTGATATTTCCTTTGGAAGGTCCAATTCAGTACAAGTAGTCCCCAGTTTAAGAACAAATTCTGTTCCCAAGGTATGTCCTTAGGTTGAATGTATATGTAAGCCAGAACAGTATTATTGTATAATACTATATAAGTAGCACTTTGTAATGAATGCGAACCATTGTATATTTAACTTGAATCATTGTGTATTTAACTCGAATTTTGCTACAACAGACTCCATTCTTAACTATGGATTGTCTGTAACTTGGGTGTTCTTAACCCAGGGTCTATCTGTATTACAAACATTGCTCTAAAAAGTGTTGCTTATGACATTAAAAAACAGGATTATCTCCTGGAACAATAATCACATTTACTTTTTCAATAATAACATGAGGTTGAGAGATAGGCAATGTCTAAAGTCACGTACACCCTGGCCAATAAAGGATTTGAATCATGATTTCACCATATACTATATCTGCACTACTCTTCCTACATTACATGTGATCTAAAGAAAGGGTTAATCATATGTACCTTTCCCTCTGCTGTTGGATTACAATTTCTATGATTCCAGACTATTGGCTACACTGATAGTGTGGTGGTAAGTGAAATACAACTTTCACCTACCCTTGCTAAAAACATGACAAAGTTATTGTTTGCTTCTACAACACAAAGATGTAAAAGACCGTATAATCTTAATTAGATTGAATGTTATGATTAATAATCAATCATATGGAGAGCAATTGCCTGTTAACACAAGTAAGATGAATTTGATTAACATTAAAATATTTTTTGATTAAATCAGCAAAGCCTAAAAGCACAACTAGAAATATTCCACTGGTTTGCATTTTTATAGAGGGTCAACAGCCAAAGAGACTTCCTTGTTAACTACACTGAGCATTTTGGGTTTTCTTCCCAGAAATGTTGTTCTTAAAGTTGTCACTCTTCATTACAAGGAACAATTCTATTTAGATAGATACTGAACCAAGAACTTGCAAAATTAATAAAGTTATCATACAAATTAAATCAAACAAGAATAACTTTAACTACTTTTCAATTTCATGAACTGTAGAACCACCACACATTTTTTTAAACTGGGACGAAAATGAATCACATCTTTTAAATGTTAAGCACTAGACTAGATCATTACAGAGATGAAAAATATGGTGCAGAAAATGGAGAAAAAGTATACAGTAATCATTTCAAAGTTTATGGGGTGTAAATAAATTATTTTTATTTACTATATTTATTTAGTGGATGCAGTTCCTAAACCTATTTATATTTAAATTCCAGGAATCATGACCTTAATGAAACAAGATTTCTCAGGTTTCTTTTCTCTAGCTCAAATGAAGTAGGAAAGAATAAAAGGTTAATGCAACTTTCCGCAACCCTAGTGCCTCCCATCAAATTCTGGTGTTTTACTGCCTTCATCTCCAGCTAACAGTTTAAGGAAATCTAGGCTGTGCTAGTGGCTCCAAAGAAGTTAAACAATTGTATTGGCTTTCAAAAATACTCAAGAGATATGCTTATAATGATTTACCAGATGTAATCCAGCCATGTTTTGTTTTGCAATCTCACAAATTATAGCTAGCATATGATTTCAAGGGAATATGTAATGCTTACGGCTTTTAATTTCAGAGTTTTACCAAAGAGGCAAGCTATCTCCTACTCACGCTGGTACTGTAGAATTTGCTTTACTAATCACTACAACATATTCACGTCATTTATAAACATGATGTAGAAACTGATTGCAAACCAGATTAAGAAGATACAAGTATAAATGACCTCTTATAATTTGCTCTTATATAACAGAGCAAATTCTATTATATTCTGATAGTATATGACTGAGTTAGACTATCTAAATTTTATTGGGAAACTACTAATCTGCAACTTCAAATTGCAAGATTGCCGATCCAATGACACTATCACAACCATCCAATTCATTGGTGATTATTTTCATAAATTAAAGCATACATGGGTGTCCATAGCCACATATTTGCAACAACAACAAAAAAAGCCTTAACACATATTCATTAACATTTCCATTCACTGTAGCTTTATATAGTACTTCATGGGCCTCAGCATGGCGCCCAGGGGCATCAATGACTCTTTAAACACATCAGGTGCTGTCCTTGGTATTATTACCTATCCTGTCCCACCAGACATTAACACACCCTCACACACAGAGGAAACTTAATAATACCCTTAATAAACCAATTTTACAGGAACAATCTGTTTTTGTTTTTAAATTCTACTACTAGGACAAATTATATATTTCTGATCATATTTGCCACTAGAAACGAGTGCTATTTATGAATAATTCATTTTAAAATTTGTTTATTCTGAATACATTAAGAGGCTTCTCTTGATAAGAGTGATCTGAAATTGAAAATATTAATCAAGCAGTGAGACTTTTGAAAAAGGCAATTTAAGACTGCTAGTAGTGTCCATATTTTTACTATTCACCAGTCTAGAAAAATGTTCTGTAGTTATGCAAATTGTTTCCCCATTTCCTTTCTTTAAGAGGCCACAAAAGGAATGACAGGAATCTAATCTTTAGTTTTTAAAACTTTCTTAAAATCATACTACTCTTCCATTATTTTCATATTTATTTCACTTGCTTTCTTACAATTTTTATTTTTTTAATACGTTCTTGTCATGATATATTTTCATGGAATGAATGAATGTTTTCCTCTACATCAGCCTTTTCCAACACTAGATAAAATCCTTATACGTTAAGTATATTTTGTGCAAATTGTCAGAACGCAATCTTTAGACTGAGTGCATAGGTCAAAAGCACAAACCCAAGTGGATTGAGGGACTACATACATCGCTCCCTCATTAATTGACTAATAAAATCAATCTGACCTCAGAAACAAGCATTTACAAAGCTTTCCTCCAGTGTTTTTATAATTAGCCACAGATTCTTTGTCCAGACAATTTATATCACACAATTTAATAGTTTAATCTGAACCAAGAGTACTTTGCTATCATTTCACAATCAGGGTGGTTCTTTAAGGTCTTATTGCCTAGAATTAGCTGATATGTCCTATTACTGTGACTTGTGGTTTAGATACTATATTTTGGTCACAGACCTATAGTACTCCAAACAAACCAAAACCAAGATCTAATTAAAGCCTTGTAAAGTTTTTATGTTCAGGTAATTTTATATTAGAAATTAACATAAGTGCCATAAAATACTTTTTCAAAGTTTCTCAAACACTATTAGTATCATCCCACTTAATAGGTTTTTCAACTATTACCTGAACTATGACTTTTAAATCTGTGAATAGTTAATACCAAGAAAAGGTATTTGCTGGAAATGCAAAGAAATTAAATTTGGTAATAAATTGTTCAAAAGTAATTATCCTACTTAAGCTATAATCAGGAAAGCTGGGAAAACCTATAAAGACTACACTAGCCTGGATATTTCACAGATTCCCACTACATTCCAACACATGCTTTAAATTATGAAAATATTTTCAAATGCTGAAGTTCCTTGAAATTCTGTCCTAATCTGAAAACAGAAGCCACCTGGATATATGTTAGTAGTTATTAGCCCCTTGAGCTCATTTAGTGGGAAAGAGCTGGATTCTCCTGTACTACAAAATATTTGAATTTAGATGACTCAGGCTAATCTTCAAAATGCATGCATAATATCCTCCTTGAGCACTTTTCAACCAGACTATAAACTGCCAGCATGCTTACTGAATATCTTGCAAGTTTCACCTACACCTATCAAAAAGCATCTGAGCAACTTTGAAATGTAACATGAGCACTTCTTTGTTATGAAAGATAATTTTTACAAGCACAACAGATGTGGAGCATGAACCAGCCTCTGCTCCATATTTCTCAGCAAACTTTCAATAAGGAATGCTCAGATAGAATCTGTCACTAAAAAAGACTGCTTAAAAGGTCCATGAATCCACTTGCACAGGATCCACTAATCCCTATGCAAGCAGACCAAATTTGTCCCCATGCAGCTTTGGGATGCAACCTATTAAACTGGCAATTCTCAGCGAAGAAGGGCTTGGCAACCTGCAACTATAACAAGCTGACAGTAATAATTTTTAAACTGCAGATTTGGATTAAACTCCCATGTTATCTTTAGGTAGAACTGTTCCACAGATAATGCTAGATTAGTTGGACCAGAGCTATGATTTAAGAAGAAAGTCGTAAGTTTCTTCAAAGCCCAGCCTGGCTCTGTCAACAGACTCTACACACTTTGTAAATACAGGTTGTCCACTAAACAGTAATGTTCTATTTTGATATGCCTGATCCACATATATATGGGTGTGAACCACACTTTGTACCACTCACAAGCTCACTACCCTCCATGTTCTCATTCATGCAAAAGGTTGGAAGCTCAGAATTTCCAGCAATTTAAAATGCTTAACATCATATAAATAAGGATCATACAACTATTCCTGGGAGGTATTTTACTTACTCTGTTGAGATAGCTGCTGTTTAAAATAATTTGTACAAGTCTTTCCACAGTGTCTTCCAGCTTTTTAAAACACCTTCCCAATATCTGACAAGAAAAATCAGCATCATTTAATAATTTAGTTATGACAGAAACAGCCTGAGTCATAAAATCTGGAAAGGGTTGTTCAGGAAGGTTATATGATGTAACCAGACCATCGAGTAACTGAGAAAAAGAACTGGACACAATGGAGCAATCCCTCCCAAGTTTTGTCAAGTCTATTTTCAGACTATTGGACTCTGACAGATTTCTTAGTTCAATGAAATTTTGTAGGAACTGCATGTGCAACGTCAGAGACTCACTCTTGCTGGGAGTCAATGTTGGAAGTACATTTGACAAAATGGCAGGGGCCGAACTGTTGAAATCATGCCCCCTGAGGCTGAAAGCAGGGAGGGTTTCTACTGGATCAACTGTGCAGTCATTTGAGAGATCACATCCAGAATCTTCAAAAAGGTCTGTGCACTCTGCTGTATTAGAAGCTGCCACAGACTGGCCTTCAAGTGGTCTTTCAACGCCTGAAAGACAAGAACAAAACTAGACAGTCAGTATACTATAATGGATGGAGAACTGGACTTTAAGTCGAGATAGCTGGGCTCAACTACTCATTGAAGTGTAAAGCTTTAGGCCAGGCCACTAACAGGGTTCACTTATCATGCAAATTCATGGTTTGCTTAGCCATGTTTTTTTTTTAAACTAAACCACAATTGGCCGGCTTCATACAAACTGCTTAGACAAAACCAACTACAATTTGCTTAGTACATTGTTTGAACCTTGTGTGAGGAAAATATATCTTTGGGTGAATCTTTGGGTGAAAGAAGCAAGTTTTAGAGGCCTCAGATGAATGGGATCGCCTTAATAAAATTGAAACTTAAAGGAATGTGCAGCACCCTTGAAGTTGACATGAACTAGGCTAAAACCAACTACAATTTGCTTAGTACATTGTTTGAACCTTGTGTGAGGAAAATATATCTTTGGGTGAATCTTTGGGTGAAAGAAGCAAGTTTTAGAGGCCTCAGATGAATGGGATCGCCTTAATAAAATTGAAACTTAAAGGAATGTGCAGCACCCTTGAAGTTGACATGAACTAGGCTGATTGTAAACCCCTTATCACAAACACTCCCATAGCAAGAGAGGATGTCTTTGTCCTGGCAGTTGGCACCTTGAACTATTTGTTTCTTCCCCTCTGACACTATTGCTTTCCTTATAGCTAGCAGTTGTTCCATCCTTGTAGATAGCGGCCAAGAACAGGGACAGAAAGTAATTTGAGAAGTATTGCTCATTTAGGTATGCCTGCATCATCATATGAATATGTATACGTGTGTGCTCTTTTCCCTTCCCCTTTCTTGTAGAACTGTATAAAAATCAGGGTATCCATTTTGCCTACGGGGAGTGTCTCCCACTAACCTTTGATAGGGTCCCCCTCCAGTACATACTGCCTAATAAACACTGCAGTGAAGCCTTGATTATTTTGCCTTTGAGTCCTGCGTTTTGATTCCACAGAAACCGGTGTCAGAAGTGGGATCCACAGTCTTTGAGCTGCAACCGGGGACGACAGCAGGACACCCTACAGGGTGAGTGTTGTGGTGAGCCTGATCCCATTTCCCTTTCCCGCTGCCACATAAGGGCACCTTTTAGATGTGTGTGTCAGGCAACAGTCTGTGTCTAAAAGTCTATTTTGGCTAGGGAGGATTGTTGGATGCATGGCCATGCCAAATTCTCAGCCGCACCTGGCCTTCCTGCGAGCTTAACTGCGATGACCGGATGTGTCCAGAAAGCAAGGAGGAATTTGGTCTTGGCAGAGTAATTGTGTTCCTTTTGTGTCGAGCAGAGGCTGACCCCGAGAATCTGCTCAAACTCCCTTTTCCTGCTGTTTCCCTTTGAATGAAGTTGCCTTAAGCTGCTAATAGGCAGGGAAGGAAGTGTTAATGGTATCCAAGCAGACTATGAGAGGTGTTTGAGTGCATTCATGAAAGAAAAGGAGTGAAAGTGTCAGGGATCACATAAAAGCTGATCCTCCCGGGTCGAAAGCAGCCCGACATGTGGATCCAAGGACCAAAATAATCAACGCAGGAGAAGAGAGACCAGTAAAGGAGGAACCTCCAGATCCCGGACGTGGGCAGAGATCAAATATCAGATAAGTAAAATCTGAAAGGGTTAAAAGAATCTCTGGGAGGAAAGGAAAGGAAAAGAGAAAATGGGTAATTTGCAAACAAAGCATGCTTTGAAGGAAGCTCTGCAGGGAGCTCCTATTAGGTTATAGCTGTACTCAGTACTGCTCTGGGGGAGTTGGGAGAAAACCAGATTAGATAGAGTTAACAAATATATTTTGAGTCTCCCACCCAAAGAGAAAGCAGTTCTCTTTGAAGCAGTTTGTTGTGTAAAAGCAATAAACTAGAGGCAGAAAGCAAAGCCAGCATCTGGAAACATAATTATCAAAAGTCAGAAACAAAAAGCAGACAAACAGGAAAGAGTTAACAGTTGAAAGCAAAAAGACTGTTAGCAAAACATAAACAACAGAAACTAAAGGACTTTATCCCCAATTGTCAGCCTACAAAGTAACAAAAGAGAGTTAACTTTAACACAATGAGAAGATCCTCTCCTGGAAATTATGCTGACCACCCCTCCTAATAATCAACAAAGGGCTCAGCCCGCTGTGCATTCCCCATCTGGACCGGCAGATTCCACCATCAGCCGCCCCGTGGTGAGTCATACAAGATCTCACACTCAGTTATATCCAATGAGGCAAGTACCTAATGGCACTGGAGAAATCACAGAAGTACATATTCCCTGGGATCCCCTAGAATTAGAAGCCTTCCGAAGATGATTTCCACCCACCCATGAGAACCCAACCAAATTCAGGGAAAAATTGAAGCTATGCATTGACACTTATTGTCCAATACATGCTGACCTTAAAATGTTAATTTCTCATATTATGCCAACAGCCAGAATTTACAGACAATCTAATTGGCCACCAGAAGCTCCAAAAGTTGATAGTGGAACAGAGAATCTTGCACAATCACTTGTGAATGCACATACCTTTGCTGATGCTATTGCAATTGTTTATCCAGCTGTGCTGGACTGGACTAAAATTACTGATGCAAAGCAAAACACGGATGAAAATCCTGGCGATTTTTTATGAGAGACTGATTACTGGCTTTAAGAAACATGCGGGAGTTCAGGACCCTGAAACAGATATGCTGAATACTGTTCATCAGCATTTTGTAAACCAGCTAGAGCCATGGCTAGGAAACAAAGTGACAACCCATCTCCGGGGATGGAAGAATAAGTCACTCAATGAACTGAGGGAGGAAGCCTGAGTTCATTGGCATCAGCGAATGCATCATGAGAAGAAGGAAAAGCATAAAGTCAGATTAGCTGCCTTGTAAGTAAATATGGGTCAAGGGCCCACCAGAAATTCCCAACAGAAAGGTGTTTATGACAGGAGAAGAGGATGTGTATGAGGACTGCAAAAGACGAGAGGATCTGAATGGAAAGGAAGAGGAGTTTTTCAGAATCATAGATAGAATTCAGGATGTTTTCTTTGTGGAAAGTGCCAGATTGCTTGTCATCCTGATGTAAATTGGAATTGTTGATTCCAGAAGAGGGTGATGTTAATGCATAACAGGTTCATGAAGCAGTGTTTCAGTTTTTATCTGCTAAAGTTGTCACACTGTCCCTGCCTCCGGCAGGGCGGCAGAGCCTAGTCTGCTGAAGGGAGCTTGTTGGGCCTGGCTGGGGAGGAGGCAGCAGGAAGGAGTCGACAGAGGAGGCAGGGTGGTGGCTCCCTGGGCGAAGGTGGCAGCTGTCAGCGCTGTGCAAGGCCTCGTGAGGGCAAGGCTCTGCTGCTCTGCTGTGCATGTCCTGGGGCCACACCCTCCCCCAGCACCTGGATCCCAGGCCAGCAGCAGAAGGAAGAAGATGGCAGTCAGCTGGGGGCAGTTGTGGGGTGGCAGGGGCAGGTGACAGTGGAGTGCAGGGTGGCCAAAAGGGTAGAGATGGGGGCAAGATAGATGGGTGGAATCAGCTGAAGCAGAGATGAGCACGGCAAGGCGATGGAGCCTCATCTGCCAAAGGGAGCTCACCAGGCCTGGCTGGGGAGGAGGCAGTTGGACTGAGCTGGCAGTTCGCGTGGGGCAGAAGCGTGAGGCCCTAGCCTAATGATGGCCACAACCAGGACCTCCAGAGCCGCATGATCACATGATATTTCGCCTAACAACTGCTTAACACTTAGCAATGGAAATTCTAGTCCCAATTAGGGTCATTAAGATAGGACTACCTGTAGTGACAATCCTAGCTGATTCCTAAAGCCCAACCTAACAAACAGGGTCTCGTATCCAGTAATCTGTGGAACAGTGCCTCTAAACACCACTGTCTTGGATAACCATAACCACTCTCCTGCTCCTGTCCTGGGTTCTCACCTGATGCCACACCTGAAATCCAGGTGGGTACTTGTCCAAGAGGGGAACGCCACTCTCAAAGCCCAGCCAGGTTTCGGTAACACACACAAGGTCAGCCTTCTCATCTGTGATCAATCACAAATAAGGGCAGCCTGACCTGGCATTCAACAGCAACAGCCAAAAGCCAGGGCCTCTGAAGGTCTGTTGACTGGGAAATGGGGTTGATCAGAGGGGGCCAGAACATGACATAAGAACATAAGACACTGGGGTCACATTCCTCAAGAGTGGCCTGCCCCCTGTCTCCCACCATACCTTCCCCTACCTGTTATCACAGAGATGTTCTGGCCCACCCTTAACCCTGCAGAGATCCCCTCTTCCCCCAGCCCATACTGGCCTGTCCCCAGGTCAGAGGGCCCAACCACATCATCTACCAGAAATGCAACCTCCTGGGGGCTATCTGGGTTCTTAGGGTAATTGTGGGTTCAGCACTCAGCACCTCACCTGCCCTAGATAGCATCCCTCCTAACAAATGTCCAACTCCCACTAGGCACTCCAAGCCAGCCCCTTCTCACCAGACTCCTGGAGATGCCTGCTCTTCCCTGCCTACCTGAGGGTGATTCAGGTTGCTATCCCTTTCCCAGCTGTCACCCAAGGAAAGACTCAATGGCACCCAGCTGTTAACAGAAAATCACCCTCCACAAATCCACAACCAACAAGAGTTACTACTGAGACCATTGTTACAGAATCACTTCAATGTTTATTCCCAAGAAAACTTGTTTTGCCCAATGCAGAACCTGACAGCTTCCAGACATAGCTTCATGTTGTCTGTGGTATCCCCAGCTCAGCGCAGGGTGGTGATGAAAACTTGACCATCACCTGCAAACTAGTGACAATTAACCTTGAACTGCAACGAAGCCTAGCAGCTTAATATAGATGTTAAGTAACTTAGGAGAGGTAAGTATATACTGAATCTAAAGACTGACAATGCCTCATTAAAGGAGAGGGTATATCTTAGCCCCTAGCACCGCATATTGGAATGGCCTCAGACTCAAGCATTACTCCCCTATGATTACTGAGTGGAACTATCCACTCAAGCAGGAGTAGAACCATCATAATATGGTGTCTCCAATTCCCAACCCAATTCCCAATCCAGCAACATACCATGGATATTAGTATTACATGATGCTGAAAAATTAACAGGACCAAACAGGGTGTACTCCCCGCATGAAGGTCCCTGCCCAGGTCATCTGCCAGTGGGTCTAGCACTGTTTCCATCCTGTGACTGAATCTGAAACCAGACTGGCATGAACCTATACAATCCATTTCCTATAGGATTCTTTATATTACAATATTCCCTGAAAAGGGAAGTTTGGAATTGGACAAAAGAAAAAGAAAAAAAGGCAGGGTCCAGGGTAGATCTTTTCAAGGCAGGCAATATACCCCTTCCTTTAATGGGGCATTGTCAGTCTTTAGATTCAGCTATTCATGCTCTACTTGGCCACCCAAAGTTGCCAAGAAGGACATGGGTCAAGCACACAGATAGCAAGGTTCACATTACAGAGAATCCTAACCACTTCCTTAGACTCTACAAGTTCAAAAAAATCCCGAATGATCCTACAAGACTCTGCTTTGCTCACCATTGTGGACTGCTCAGCTGACATCCAACTCAGAGCACATATGAGTAACTTTATCCCAGCCATATTTCCCCCAAACAGTCTGGATAATCTTGAACAGGATTGCCAATCGGGCATTTGGATGCAATAAGCATGAAGAAGAATTGGTGCTTTGCCAATAGCCAAATTAAAGGTTTGGAATTCTAGGAATAAAAACAGCTCTTCTCTTTTTTAATGTATCAGTGGCTAAAAATCCAAAGACAAGGTACGTGTTAACCTAAAGCAGAACTGTTCAAACTTCTTCAGGCTTAAATGCCACACTTACCCTCTGAATGGTGTATCAGGAGTAATACTGCAAAAAAAGAAATGTGGTGCAGTTCGAAGAAATGAATAAGGGCATGGGAAAAACTTGACTTGCTTTCATTTCATTTTATTTCATTTAATCAATATAATTACTCCTCATATATTTAATAGTATCCCCCTTCTGTCACATAAAAATTAAAATTCTGTTACCACTTCTTGGAAGAACTCTAGAGAGTACATCCAAGGTTTAGGGCCCCACATGCAGCAAAACAAAAACAAAAACAGATTATGATCCCAAAGGAGGAGAGGAATTTGTAACCTGTTATTGCCCAATCAAAGAGGTAGTGAAACTACCAAGGGATTTGGGCATCTCATCACACAGACTCCCATGCTGGCTAGCTATGTGTATTCCTCTTTATTTCATTTTAAGCTCAAATAGTAATGGCAGGGCAATTCATAATTGCCCAAATATATGAATAACATAGACTTATTTTCAGAGGAAGAGCATGATTACTAGAAATACATTTGAAACTTACTGTTTTTTACACTGATTCCTGAAAAAAATTTACTCAAAAGGAGCTGTTGCCTTAAACGAAGAACTTCCATTTCTAATGCTTCAACTCTCATTTTCCATTTGGAATCCTGTCCAGATGCTGCATTGGCCAGGTGCACTGCATATTCTCTGCTGCTTTTATCTGGTGGCTTGGAGCGGATAATAGCTAAAGCCAGTGCCAACTGCAATGCTTTGAAATACCATGTTGCATCTTCTTTATCTTTTATGTCTGTTAGAATGAAAGCAAGGCCATATTAGGTACTTCTCTCCAATTAAAATGCTGCTTTATGTTTTATTTATTAATTGATCTAAAGGAAATAGTCTAGCCCTGGCAAGGCTTATATTAATCAAAAGATTCAGCCATCCAAGACAAGAAAAATTAAATATTTACAAATTGCGATGACATATTGTCAAAAATAAATTGTAGTCTCAAGGTTTGAAAACAAGAATGTGAATCAAAGGACTCTCATACTATGCTAATGTGTAAGTACTCTTTTTGTGAAACTTTAGATAGTGTCTGTGTAGGTAAGTAATAGACAAAGACAGTCTATTAAATTAAATTAAAGTTCAGAAACTATGTCCTTTTACACAGTGGCTGGAATGCAAAATGGCCTTATAAAGAATTTGGGGTAGAACTTCCATCTATGTTAAGCCTCCCTGAGGCCTAATCTGAAAAAGAGCAATCTAGGAGTTACTCTAAGGATTACCATCCAATTCTGTCCCAAGTACTGGAGTTTTAAATTCTTCAGATGCTGATCCTGAATTCACAGCTCTGTCTCTTTACCAACTACCCACACTGGTTCTTTTTCAGAACTGTCCCAGACAGCTGAGTAGAAGCCATATATGGGGAAGATCCCTGACATGCATCCACACCACGAGCCTTACATCAAGAACAGTTAACCAGGGTTGGCCTTGGTTAGTTCTTGAACCAAGTAAGTCCAGAGCTGTAGGTAGATTGAGAAGTTTAAAAACAACTGTCAAACCTGACAAGAGAATCTTTATGTTTTACCTGATGTGAAGCCACTGATTCAGGTAGAGGTGGTGGCAACAGCTGAGTCCATGGGTGATTCTAGATTCTTGCTCTTTAAATAGATTTCAGTTGAAAGATGAAGTCCAGACACTAATCCTGATTAATAATCAATGAAGCAAAAGTTGCCTTTTCTGAGTTGTTCCATATCCAACCCAACACCCAGGTCTCTGTTGCTAATGATTCCCTTTAAAGGCCTTCAGTTCAGAGGGAATCCAACTAAGTTTGGATTTCATCTAACTATTCAAATGAACAGCATTATGAGCAAACAGTACATAATAGGCCTATGCATGCTTTGAAGATGATTTGGAAGAAGTGCTCTGGATCTCATGTGAGCACAGCATCTCTCAATTATTTATTATCACTTATTATTTTAGGGTCAAGTAGAAGCCTGAAAAAGAATTTGAGTGCTTAATGTACAGGAGAGGTACTGTGTTCGCATGAGATTCAAACCACTTCTTCTAAATAATTTTCAAAACACACAGCTTTATCAGTTACTATAAACACATATACCGTTAGTCCCCGGGTAAGAACACCCAGTTTACAGATGACCCAAAGTTAAGAACAGAGCCTAACGTAGCAAAATTCGAGTTAAATACACAATGCTTCAAGATAAATACACAATGGTTCGAGTTAATTACACAATACTATTTATACAGTATTATACAATAATACTGTTCCTGCTTACATACACATTCAACTTAAGGACAGACCTTGGGAACGGAACTCGTTTTTAAACTGGGGACTGTATTACAAAATAAGTATTTTATGATCAACTGCTTGAAGTAAACTAGCTGCACTACATAATGATTATTTTGTGTAAATTTATAATTGCTTTGAATTCTGTTGGCCTTTAACATATAAATTACATTATTTGCTTGAAAAGAACTCATTTAATCCCTAAAATAATAACCTTTGAACTGGAGTATGTTTAATGCAAGACAGTAAGTTTGCAAGCAACCATACTCATAGAGGAGAGGACCCACTTAACTCTGCTCACAAAGTGAGTACTACAGACGAATTAATTGCCTGAACCAGGCTTTTATTTAAAAGAAGCTGATATTCCTGAAAGGGAGATATTTATTCTGTCTTAATGAGAATAAAACTCTAGGAAAATGAGACAAAGTAAAAAAGCTCGGCACTAGATAAGATAGGATTTGTGTTTCTGTTTGTCATTGTTATCCCTGTCTACTCTTCTGTATTGGAGGTTTGCATTAAATTCAGCAATTTTACAAGCAAAGCTAATTTCCGTATTCTTATAGCAATCCATAAATTTAGGTGTTTTTAGTGCTTTCCAGGGTTGTACAGATAACTAAGAAAAAAAAAACTAGTTCTCTATTACAGCTGAAAAAAAGGACTTAATTTACTTATTTGGATACATTTTCCGGACCAAAAAAAGAATCTTAAGAAAGTCAGAACATGATGAAGAGTTGGAAAAGTTAGAAATATTCTTTGATTTTTCATACAAACTCAAAATTCCTCTCTCAAATGTCTCACTTCATATTAAAGGACTGAAACATTAAGAATTCTGAAACCATAAAAGCAGAAAATGTGCTTTTAACCCTGAAGCCAACTCACTCCTTTTGTGAAATACCATATCTTACCTATAGGGATCAGACAAAAGAAACAGTCCCAACATGTACAAACACCTTTGGTAATCCTATGTTGAAATATAAGGGCACATCCAGCCAGTTTAATAGGTTTTCCTCCAGCCATGAGATGGCATACTAGTAAGTCAGTAAATAAATCTCTCTGCATAAATCTCACTGCATAAGATGCAGTGTTTGGTGGAATTCTGGCAGGAGAGAATGACATCTACCAAGCACTCTCCCTCATATGAAGTGGGGTTGGGAGAAGAGGTGAGTTCTGATTGATGGCTAGACCATTCGTCTAGGGTTTAGCCATCAGTTTAGTACTCGATCCAGGGGGTGAGTGGGAACGTTCTACCTATCCTGCTTTCTAGGAAATCACCACATCCCATGGATGATCCATGGATTATCCTTCTCACTCTATCACTCTGCCTTTTGTTTGTCTCTCATGCTCTTTCTTGATCAAGTGCTCACTTTACCACTTGCACACTCTCTCCCATTCACTCAACTTTCTCTCTCGACCACTTGTCTTTCTCATTTATTCAATGGTTCTCATGCTTGTACTATTGGTTGCTCATGCACTTTATTGTTCTATCACTTACTCTCATTCATTTGCCCTCCCTTGCTTTCACTTGTCTGTCTTGTTCAATTCTCTCATGCTTGCTTGTCTTTCTTGCTCATCTTTTTTACTTGCTCATCTTTCTCTCTTGCATTTGTCTATCTGTTTGTCTTCTCTTTCCCTTTTGTCCTCTCTAGGTACAGCTGACGGGGGGTGGTTGAGAGGTGCTGGAAGATGGATTCCCCACTTCATCCAGGACCAGGTGAGCTGCCTGTTAGTTTTGGCATTTTTTATATATGTCTAGTAGTCACACATGAGATGAAACCCACATAATGCCTGAGCTGCACTTGGTAAAGCACCACTTAGGCATCATGCTGTCCAAGCCAAAATAGCCTCTCCCATGACTGAAGGGGAGAGATGTTTCCACAGCAACAGAAAGTAGCCAACTGGAGTTGGGCTGACTTGAGCCTCTGACTCATCACCATAATAGTTATGACTGAAGCACCGCATATTGTGCATATAGCAAATCTTATGGTGGGAGAAAACCACCATAACCACCATTAACACAATTATTAATACTGGATTGGATAAATGCAGTGTAGCAGTCTTGGATCTAGGTGAGGAAAAGGTTGCATCATGAGGACGTTTCATTCAAGAATGGTTAGCAAGTAATTATTAAGCCATATTAGGGGATATGTGGATGTGCCCTGAAGTATACAGGGCAAGAGGAATGCATTAAATGATTTTTGTGCATGTCAGAATCAACCCTAAAGGAACCTACTAACTAAAGTATCAGATAAGACACTGATTTGGGATATCAAGAAGAGCAGACTAAGAACAAATACTATCTTAAAAAGTACTTTAAGTACATAGTAGTTTAGTTATATTTAACACATTTGAGCACATACGAAGTATTTAAAGTATAGTCCACAACATATTAAATCAGAACACTAATCAGCTTATCTATGTCTTGGGCTGTAGAAGTCTGAATTTTTCAAACCTTTCTTAACTTCTGAAGTGAAAAGATGGGTGTCAACTTTGCTAATTTGGGTTATTTTATTAAACATTTCCCCCAGATTTAAAAGAACATATATAACCATTTTTAGCAGCAAAACAGAAATATGAATATTTTCTTAGCTACAAGGACTAAAACTTGTTTGCATCAACAGCTAAGCCCTTGAAAAAAGATAAATGTTGTTTATCATCATGCTTTTCTGATTTTTCTGGCATTTAAATGTTCTCTTTTGAGACCTCATTTGTTATTGCTCACTCCTGTTTCACCTTTTGCATCTTCATAAACCACAGACATATACAACAGCAATTTCCAGAATGTAGACAATATTATTATTATTATTTTGATAGCTACTTGAGAATGTGGGGAAAACAAGTGACAACAGGGAAGAATATAAATTTCAGCAGAGACGCAAACAACGAGAGGATGAGAAATAAGATGGATATATTAAAAGAGAAAGAATGTGTATCACAATGCTGTTGCATTCTTAATCTGCAATTCTACTTGTACTTAGCTGACAATTAAGCCCCACTGAAGTTAGTGAGAATTATTCCTGGGTAGACATTTAAAAAAAAAAGGTATTAATTTTGTACTAACACACTAAACGAACAAGATCACTAAAAATAGCATGGTCTCAGGAGAATATTTAGATTGAGTTAGGAAGTTTTAGTTATGGGCCAGTTTAACAAAATGTTTAGGAACCTCTCACATATAAAACTTTTGTAGTGTTCCTTGGGTTCTACATATACTTTTTGCCTTTTTTCCCTGGAAAGGAAACAATGACAGCATCTGTTAGTGGTTCTTAAATTGTTTGACCCAATTACCCCTTTTCCCAGACTTGAATAATATTGTTACCCTTACTCCCCAAAAAAGCCAGACTCTGTGCTTTTACACATGTGTCTTGTCAGCGGCAGTCCCAAACTGGATCCTTGATTCACAAACAAGCAACTACAAACTGCTCCATTACCCCAGGATATGCCCAAGTTACCCCCAGTTTGAGGACATGCCCAAATTACCGTTAGTTTAAGAACCACTGATCTAT